ACTACATTATAATCTTGCCTTGCTTTTGATCCAAAACAGTCCCATCCACTTTTTTAACCAGACTTGTTTCTGAAAGGATCCTAGATGATCAAACCTAGCAAGGACTTTAGAGAATTCCTGACCCATGTTACAAATAAGGAAACTGAAGCTCAGAGAGGGACTTTAATTTTCCTGAGGTCTCCTCATCTAAACCCATTGACTCTCAGCACAGTGTTCTTCTCAGGGTTCTGCCCTGGAGTACCTTCTAAGCCCTTTGGCTATTTGCAAAAATCAAGAGAGGAAGATTTCTGGTTTTAAGGCTATTTTTTTTTTTTTTTTAAGTGGAGAGGTGATTCTGAGTTCCAAAAGAGAGGGAGCAGAAATTTCCGTCACCATCAAATGTTCACAGAAATCAGCATGGAGCCTCCAAGGTGACTGGTGAGAACAGAGGCGTCACCAAGATGTATTAGTGTATTTGTTTAAAAAAGAAATCATCACGTTGCTTGGTCATTGTACTTTAAATACCCAACTGTGGCTATTTGAAGAAGCCCCGATATATAAAAATTCAAACAGAAAAACGAGAAGATTAGGACATTGTCCTGGTTAGTCTCTGTCTCCCCTCTCCACTTCAGATCCCTTCTCCCTGCTTCTCTGCCCTGCCCTGTGCCCCATGGGGATGATGCCTTCGCCTTCAATATCTGGGCTCCCTTGCCCTCCTGTGGGCAGCATCAGCAGGAGGAGGGAAAGGTCAGGGTATTCCTTCCCACCTTGCCTGGCAGCCAGTGCTAGCAGATGCTTTGGCCCTCCATGGCTTCAACCCCTGCAGTTAGCTCCTCCTCTACCTCCAGCTCAGAGAGAACACCATTTCCTTCCCATGCCCCTTCTGGCCCAGGAGTAATACCAGCTTCCTGCTATCCCTGGAAGTTTCATCACCCCTTCTTGGCACCTTGGCTCCTGCCCATTACTCCCACAACTCTAATTGAACTATCTTCAAGTGGTATTCTGTTTACTCCAGGAACACTGACAGATACAGAGATGAGTTTGAGTTTATGAAAAATATTTCCTGCTGTGTATGAGCCCATGGCACATTCCATATAATTCTATTTGCCAGTGCCCCTTAACCACACCACTGTCCACACACAGTCACACTGCCTAAAGAAGGTGTCCCAAAAGGCTGCAGTCCCTGCTATCGCTCCTGCTATATAACTCTGAAGAAGAACCTAGAAGAGTACCTCCGGGCCCCTTCCCAGTCTCCTGATGCTGCTCCCACCACCTCCAATGCAGGAACCAGGACCTCTGACTGTAAGACCTGGCAAGTGTAGGCCCCTGCAGAACTTTGTGGGATAACCTGGACCATCCCCAGCAAGGACTGAGAGAGGGCAGGGGCAGATGGTGATGAAGGTGTCAAGAGGAGCGGGGAAGAGGAGGGTAGGAGGTGTGCCTGGGGCATGGAGGCAAAGGGAAGCCAGCTGGGATAACATATCCTCCACTAGACCCTTGAACCTTCTCCTGTAGCTGTCCTTCCTTCACTGCAGGAGGGAGGACTTGTGTTCTGTGATTGACATGAGTCTCACCAAGGGGACCCTGGTCAATGCTTCCAGCCTGAACCTAATGTACAAGGAAAGGGAGCTAAAACATCGCTTGCCTTTAAAATGGCCAATTGCTGTGCTCCTCCTCCAACCCACCCACCACCATCTGACTATCCCAACCAATGAGACCTTGACCTGAGAACCCAGGAACCGTAGGAACCGTCGTTCTCATCTTCACCATCACTGGTGAAAGTATTATGATTTACACATGTATAGAACCTTCCAGGTTTCCCAGCCATTCACACTCACTACACCATTTGATCTGTGGAGACCAGCAGAGGAGGTGTTTGAGATCATTGGGGTTGGGGTGGCACCTAACAACTGCCTAGAACATGGTAAAAAAAAAAAAAAAAAAAAAAAATCACTGCCATGGAGTCAATCCAACTCATAGCAACCCCTCCTTGGGTTTCTGAGGCAATACCTCTATGGAAGTAGATTGCCCCATCTTCCTTCCAAGGACTGGCTGGTGGATTTCAACTGTCAGCCTTCTGGTTAGCAATCAAATGCCTTAGGCACTGCACCACCAAAGCTCCTTAGAACATGGTTGTTGTTGTTGTTGTTATGTGCTGTCGAGTCAAACCCAACTCATAGCGACCCCTCCTTGGTAGTGCTCAAAAAAATAATTATTGAATGAACGGATGCTCTCAGCCACCACTAGCCTACCTCGCCCCTTCCTCAAGCTAAAATAAGAATTTCAATTGCCACATTATTGCACAACCTGAGTGGCTCTGCCCAGGGGATCTTCCCAGCATCATGATGGGCATCACCCCTGCCTGTTTACACAAGTGTACCCCACTGTATGCTTTCATGCCACCCCCAGACACCAGGGCCACACATGTTCACTCTGCCCTGCCCCACGCTCCTATCTGCTTCACAGTTGAGGGAGGAATTGGGCTTTGGGGTGCAGTTGAGTGAAAGAAGCACCCTCAGGGGCACCCAGACCTGGTTAGGACAGAAAGGAGCTGTATGCATGAGTGTGTACCAGTGGGTGTGCACAAGCTCGCTCTCTCGAGTATGTGTGGCCCAGTATATCCTGGAGTGTTTCTAGAATATTCGGGGGGGGGGGGTGGATGACATCTGCTTGTCCAGGACTCCACACCCATCCTCAAGTTCTCAGTAAATAAATGTGATATGAATGTTGCATGTGTCAATGTGGCACCCTTGTGCAACTGACAACCCAATACCAAAGAGACAACCCAAATACCCAAAGAGGTTAAGTGTCTTGTCCAATTCACAAAAGATGACTATAGGTAGGTCACCATCACCCCCTCTTTCTTCTCAAAGCCAACAGCCACCTTGAGCTCCCAAATCCCCAGGGACACAGACTCTGCCCTGAAGTGTGGGCTGGCTGAGGTGGGAATGGATGAAAACAGCCTGAAATCCAGCCAGGGGCAAGCGGAGCCCACGTGGGGTGGGAGATCCCATTGCCACGTGGAAATGGCTGACAATGTGGCCCTGAAGAGGGTGGGGTGGGTTTATCTCTAGTCTGGGGAGAATCTACCAGCAGAAAGGAGACAGCCCTGGGGAAAAGCAAAGGGAAAGAACTTGGCCCAATTGTTCTGGGACAAGAAGAAGGCACCACCTTCTGCCCAAAAATAACCAACACTAGAAGCCGGTTTCCCAAAGATTCCCCCACCAAGTATCATCTGTGGGGATGAAGATTAAAAGGAAACACTGGTAAGAAGAGATTTTTCATCATGATTACCCCTAAAATGAACTAGACATAACTGTAAAGATACCTAATACTAGAGAGGCACTGATTTCAAAGAAAAGGAAAGAGAGGCCCAAAAAACGACAGGTAAGTTGCCTGAGGCCACACAGCAAACCTGCTGCTGGGTTAGGAGACAGTAGGCAATGGCTCACAGAACCCTTTCTACCACTCGAATGGGTCCTTTCTCCATTAGTCACATCTGTCTCCTTTTACCCATTTATAACCATTTCCAAATCTTATATTCATATCCAAAGATGCAAAGACAGTAGGTGGGTCCTGGGTCTTGGGCCTCCCTTGTACCTCTCTTGAATTCTCAGCAGTGGTGCAGCCAGCCTCACCGTGCGAGTCAAAAAGCAAGGAATGCCTCCCATTACTTATCAGGGGGAGAGGGCGTCACTGCCTTCAAGTCACTAATGCAACCAGAAGGAGCACTGATGGGACAATGGTTAAGAGTTTGTCTGCTAACTAAAAGATCAGTGGTTCAAACCACCAGCCGCTCTGCGGGAGAAAAGACCCGGGGATCTGCTAAGACTACAGCCTAGGAACCCTATGGTGCAGCTCTACCCTGTCACATAGGGTCACGATGAGTCAGAATTGACTCCACAGCACACAACAATGAAACTAGCAAGGCCCCTGAATGGGTCCAGTCAGAATTGGCAGGGCTGAGTCCACCACCTTCCCAGGCTTAGTCCTCCCAACACGGAATACAAAGTCTCAAGGCATCAGGATTAATAAACAGCTTTATTTGCCTTTTACAGCATCAGTTTTCTTACATTCTCAATTAATTTGCCATTAAAGTGCTGGAAAATTTCTTAATCATGATAACATTTGTTAAAAGAAATCAGAACTAGTATCAGGGACTTGGCGGCCATGAATGAACATTCCTCTTACAAGAAAGAATGGAAGCCTCCTACTGAGTTGGTGGGTTGGACAATCTGCAGATTCTACTTCCCTCTCACTGTCAGCACCAAACTGGCTGGGACCGCCAGCCCTGGGGGGGGAAAAGCGTTGCTAAAGAGCTCTCACACCCAAACACCCCAGCCACCAGCAACTCTCCGCCATCACTGGGTGTCTGCTGTTTGAGTAGATCCGATCTGAAGAGAAATGACGGTCTTGCCCTGTCTTCTGCCTTCTACCCCACCCTCCCTTACTAACAAAAGCCCCAAAAGTCATTACAATGAAAAAATGAGTGTCCATGACCCCAACACTAACAATGTTCAGTAAAAATGAAGATAATAACACAAAAGCTTGCTTAGTAAACAAGAGCTCTCCGCGCTCAACGCAAAAAAAAAAAAAAAAAAAACTGAAATCTTAAGGCAAATACTGTTGACTTTGCACGTGGGCTGGTTGAACTTGGAAGCCTTGACCTATCTGTAAGGTTCACGGGGCCTAAAGGCGGTTGGTTTGTCAGCTTGCCACTGGGAAAGGCAAGCTCTCTGCTTTATTGCTGAGGCTGTCGGTGTGTTTCTTTGGAGTTTATATACAAACACACCCAGGGCTTACACATCATTATATATATATATATATGTATATATATGTACACACATACAAAGGCCTATTACTCTTTCTTTGTGGAAACCGCCAGTTCCACCTCGGGAAGCTGGATGCCAACCTTGGTTCCACTGTCATTGCTGGAAGACGATGACAGCCGGGACTTCTTGGAGGCCAAGGGCACTCCACTCCCCTGTAACTTGCCTGCTTCATCATCGCTCCCGGTCACCTCATAATGACCTTTGCTCTTTGACCCCAATCCACCAAAGGTACCAAATTTCAGCTTTCCTTGCTTCCCTGTGACCTTTCCACCTTCCAGCGACACTTCCCCACCTTCAAACTCCAAAGTCCCCGTTGGGGTTGAAGATGCACAGAACTCCCTTTCATCGCTGAAGGAGTTTGAGCGGTGCCGGGCCTTCTTGCTCTTAAATAAGGAGAACTTGGCTTTGGGAGAAGATGTTTCGCCCTCTGTCTCTCCTTCCAGAGAGCCTAGGCTGGCCTTCGAGCTTTTCAGATCACCTTTGGAGCCCGAGATGGACGCTTCCGGCGAGCCAGCAACACCCCCTTTGCCTTTAGGTTTTGAGAAATTAAACTTGGGCATTTTGATCTTGGACTTCTTAAGTTTCACTTCGGACTCTTCCCATTCACCTTCTGCGGCACCAGCCTGGACACTGGCCTCTGCTTTGGGGAAGTTAACATCCACCCCTACTTCTCTGCCAACCAGCTCCCGGCCCGAGAAGGTAAATTTGGGAATTTTCATCCTGGGGAAGGCTACTTTTCCAGATCCGCTTCCCAAGTGACCTTGAGGCCCAGACACACTCAGCCCGGGACCCTGGAGTCCAATCTGTCCTCCCTTCACGCTGCCTTCCACTTTTGGTCCTGAGAAATGAAGTCCCCCAGCAAACTTAGGTGCATCCAAGTTGAGAGCAGAGGAGACCTGGGGCCCTTTCCACTCCCCTCCGGAACCTTTGACACTCACATGCCCTTCGTCTAGGCTGATTCCTGGAGCACCGACACCTCCAGAAACATCCACATCTCCTTTGATTTTCGGGCCCTTCAAGCCGACACTGAAATCTGACCCAGGAGCTGCCATGTTAAATGAAGGCCCCTTCACGCTGATATCAGAGGCAGCCCCATCGAAACCTAGGCCTGAACCTTTCAAACCACCTTTGGTTTCAGGACCAGAAATCTGCCCAGTTGGGGGTTTCATGGTCACACCTGGCAGCTCCACGTCACATCCAGAGGTCTTGATTCCAGGCATCTGGAGGCTTCCTTCTACTCCCTGAAGATTGATGCCGCCAAGGCCTCCTCCGAGAGAGGTGCCTTTCACCTCACCTTTGACTTTTGGTCCTTCCAAGCTAAAGTCCACATCCGGTGCTGAGATCTGAGGGGCTGAAATCTGAGGCCCTTTCAGGTTGACACCTCCAAGGTTCACATCCACACCTGGCCCCTTCAATTCTCCAGTCACTTGCGGCCCCTTGATGCTAATGTCTGCGTCGGACCCTGGAGTCGAGATGCCAAACTGAGGAAGCTTCATCTTGGGGAGTTTAATACCTCCTTCGGTTGCCTCCAGGTTTAGATTGGGAGCACCCACTGAGACTTTTGGGCACTTGATGTCACCAGAGACTTGCAGGTCTCCTTGCAGGCTTGGTCCCTTCAGCATGACATCTGGTGCATGAACACTAAGTGACGTCGTGGCATCAATCCCTGGCACTTTCACCCCGTCTCCTTCTATCTGCACCTTCCCATCAACACCTTTGAGGTTAAGCCCTGGAGCGTGCACCTTCATGCTGGGGACAGATGCACCCAGGTCTCCCTTCAAACTTGGTCCTTTCAAGCTGAGGTCAACATCAGGCCCAGAGACTTTTGGCATTGAGAGGTTCACTGAAGGCAAGTCTACTTTTGGCCCCTTCAGAGACACATCAGGCCCTTCAAGGTTCACATCTGGTACACTCAGGCCTCCTTCCAGAGAGGGCAGCTGGGCATGGACCTCAGCAGTCCCGCCCTCCATTTTCACCCCAGGGACACCGATTTTGGGCATGGAAAACTTGGGGAACTTGATTTTTGCTTCTGGACATTGGAGATCCACATCTGAACCTTCCAGCCCCACACCGGGGATATCACCCTTTATCTTTGGTCCTTTCAAGTTCACATTCACATCGGGGATGGAGACTTGAGGGGTAGAAATGCCAAAAGATGGTGCTTTGACTTTAGCATCTGGGCCCTCGATGTTGATGTCAGGTGTATCCAAGTTTGCTTGTACCCTGGGGCCTTTCAAGTCACCCTCTATTTTTGGCCCTGAGACATCCACACCTGGCATCTTGAACTTGGGAGCCTTCAACTTGATGTGAGGACCTTCCACATTAATCCCCGGAGAAGAAGTATCCAAATCAGGTACGTGGATTTCACCCTCCATTTTGGGACTTGGAAGGGGGGCCTCAGCTTTAAATTTGGGTGATTTAATGTCAAATTCTACATCTGGGAAGTACATTTTTCCAAACATAGGTTTCTTGGTTTTGGGAGATTTCACATCAACTTTAAGTGCAGCATCCGGCCCCACAACATTGACATCTACATCAGGGGTCTTGAGACTGGCATCGATCTCACCTCCAGGAACGTTCAAGTCAAATCCCTGCTTCTTGGCCTTCATTTTAGGGCCACTCATGTGAATTTTGGGCATTTTAAATTTACTTTTCTTGCCCTTGCCACCAACGCTGATTTCAGGCGTGTCAACGTTCATTTCTACCTCAGGAACAGTCACATCTAGGGAAGGTGACTTGATGTCCGCCTTGGGGCCTTTTGCCCCAAATCCAAACTTGGGTTTCTTAAATTTGGGGATTTTAATATCTGGGCCCTCAATGTTAATATCTGGGCTCTCCATGTGTACATCCAAGCTTGGAGCTTCTAAGTCAACTTTGGGACCCTTGAGGTCCAGTTCACCACCTTCTAACTTGGGGCTAGAAACACCAATTTTTGGTGCCTTAAGATGCAAATCAATATCAGGAGCAGTTACTTTAGGGGCAGATATATCTAGTGATGGCATCTTCAAATTTGGGCCACTGAGTTTGGCATCAGGGCCTTTAAAATCCAGACCTGGACCTTTAAGGTCTACTTCTGGGCCTTTGAAAGTACCTTCAACCTTAGGGACAGACACATCAAAATCTCCTTTTACTTTGGGTCCTTTCAAATCCAGGTCAACATCAGGCACGGAGATCTTGGGGGCTTTGATGTTCATCTCGGGCATCTTGAACTTGGGCCCCTTCAGTTTTGCATCTGGACCTTCGATATTCACATCGGGAACATCTATGTCCACTTTGGGTCCTGAGATGTCAATGTCAGCCTTGGGCAGGTTCACATCCACTTCTGGACCCTCTCCTTTGAAGCCGGGCATGCTGAACTTGGGCATTTTCACCTTGGGCATCTTCAGATGCCAGTCTGGGCCTTGAACATCCACATCTGGGGCATCAATGTCCACTCTTGGGCCTTTGAGGTCAAGTTCAGGGCCTTTTAAGTCACCTTCCACTTTAGGCAGGGAAACATCCACATCACCTTTCACTTTGGGGCCCTTCAGGTGTAAGTCAATGTCAGGCATGGAGATCTTGGGAGCTTTGATGTTCATTTCAGGCATCTTGAATTTGGGTCCCTTCAGTTTTGCATCTGGGCCTTCGATATTAACATCGGGTCCTTCAATGTCCACTTTGGGTCCTGAGACATCAATGTCAGCCTTGGGCAGGTTCACATCCACTTCTGGACCCTCTCCTTTGAAGCCAGGCATGCTGAACTTGGGCATTTTCACTTTGGGCATCTTCAAGTGCCAGTCTGGGCCATGAACATCAACATCTGGAACATCAATGTCCACTTTGGGTCCCTTGATATCAACTTCAGGGCCCTTTAGGTCACCTTCCACTTTGGGTAGAGAAACGTCCATATCACCCTTCACCTTTGGACCCTTCAGATTCATGTCGACTTCAGGCATGGAGATCTTGGGTGCCTTGAGGTGCAGGTCAGGCATTTTAAACTTGGGACCTTTAAGTTTCCCTTCTGGACCATGGATGTCAATATCAGGAGTGTCTACATCCAGCTTAGGGCCTTTGACATCCACATTGGGGCCTTTCAGATCTCCTTCCAGTTTAGGAACAGAAATATCCAAATCTCCTTTTACTTTAGGTCCTTTCAAGTTCAAATCAATGTCACTCATGGAGATTTGAGGAGTTTTGAAATGGACATCAGGCATCTTAAATTTTGGCCCTTTGATTTTCCCTTCAGGACCTTCAATATCCACCTCTGGTCCTTTCAGATCACCTTCCACCTTGGGAAGTGAAAGGTCCACATCTCCCTTTACCTTTGGCCCTTTCAGATTTAAGTCAAGGTCAGGCATGGAAATCTTGGGGGCTTTGATGTGCATCTCTGGCATCTTAAATTTGGGCCCCTTCAGTTTCCCTTCAGGACCTTCAATATTGACATCAGGAGTGTCAATGTCCAACTTGGGGCCCTTGATATCAATTTCAGGGCCCTTCATGTCACCTTCCACTTTAGGCACAGAAATATCTATATCACCCTTTATTTTGGGGCCCTTCAGGTGCAAATCAAAGTCAGGCACGGAGATCTTGGGGGCTTTGATGTTCATCTCGGGCATCTTGAACTTGGGCCCCTTCAATTTCGCATCTGGACCTTCAATATTCACATCGGGAACATCAATGTCCACTTTGGGTCCTGAAACATCGATGTCAGCCTTGGGCAGGTTCACATCCACTTCTGGGCCCTCACCTTTGAAGCCAGGCATGCTGAACTTGGGCATTTTCACCTTGGGCATCTTCAA